ATTCCCCTCCCCCCGCTCAGCGCTCAGTGTGCCCCACCCTCTTTGCAAGGTGTCTTTATTGTTCTTATTGCCACCACTCTTTGGCAAGGTGTCTTTATGTTCTTATTGCTAATAGCAATAGAAAAAAAAAGAATAAACTCAGTTTCTCTTTTTTTCCCTGGGTGGAGGTCGGTCTGTCCAGGGGCTATGCTGATCTGGCCCAGGGTTGTCTGGGGGAGTACTGTGTAGCACTTAGCTCACCTTGTCCGCATCTTCCCAAGCCGTCTGGGCATGGGCGACTGGCGGCCCGGGGGCCCTCCTGGTTTCTCAGTTTAATGTGAAGTGGAGATTCTCTGCAGGGGCTGGAGGTGTGGAGGGGTGTATGTTTTGCCTCTTCTCAGTGGTTTTGCCTGCAAGGTGTGTCTCCAGCATCTCTCCAGATTTCACTATAGGAGGCACGCTTTCTGCTTCCTCCCTCTAGCCACCATCTTGGAATTCCTCTTCTAATTTTATTTTTTTAATTTAACCTAATTTTTGGTGGTACTGGGGTTTTCAACTCAGGGCTTTTAACTCAGGGCCTTGAGCTAGGCAAGTGCTCTACCAGCGAGCCATGCCTCAGCCTTCTCTCTCTCCCTCTCATTATTTTTCAAATAGGGTCTTGTACTTTTTTCCCAGGTCAGCCATGGACCTACATCCTCTTACCTCAATCCTCTGTAGAGCTGGGATTTCAGTTGTGTGCACCATGCCTAGGTTGTGTTTTGAGATAAGATCTGGCTGAATTTTTTGCCTGTACAGATCTTGAACTGGCCTCCTATCTTTGTCTCATACATAGCTGGGATTATAGGTGTGAAGCCTGGCCTTAATATTAATTTTTAAAATCCAATAGTTTCTTGTTTTGGGTTATAACAGCAATTTTCTATTATTGATCTTTGTATAGGTTTATATGGATGTGACCAAATTAAACTCAGTTTCCTTTTTTCAGAGCTGGTCTTTGGTAGAGGTTTAGATTGTACCAAATAGAAGACATAAATTATCAAAACCAAAAGCCAATCCCCACTGAAAGCAAGTTTATTAACTTTAAAATTGCTCTAGTGCTTTTTTGAGATACTTCTGTTTATTTTATAACTTCACATCTTTCCTTTATGATTACCTGTTTCCATTTTCCTAGAAAATACTAAACTTCTAAAGAATATAATTCAGTTTTACATCTTAAAGATTTAGTTCTGTTGGGCTGCTTAATTCTGCTTCTGTTACATGTAAATAAAATGTTACATATTAATTACAGAAAACTGTCAAAACACAAAGTAACTAAATATTAATATTCCATTTAACAGCATGAGCACTCAATGAGCACTGACTTAATGAAGGAGCCCTTGGATGGTTCATTATCCATGTTTCTTTTGGTTAATCCTCTTGGGCTGGAGGTATGGCTCTGTGGTAGAGCACCTTCCTAGCAAGCAGAGACCCTGAGTTCCAAACCCATACTGCCAAAAAGAAAAAAAAGGAAATCCTCCCAACTTTCATGGAGGAACATGGTAAGAAATAACTTTTTAAAAAAGTTGTCCCTTGGGCTGTTTTAGTGACTCAAGTTGTGGAGCACCTGCCTAGCACGTGTGAGGCCCTGAGTTCAAACCATAATACCACTAAAAAAAAAAGTTGTTACTGTATTTGCTTAAGAGATATTATCCATTATGTCTCTTAGACAACCATTATAGGGCACCTGCTGTAAATATTTGTTAGAGTTAAATAATAAGAAAAGCTTTGCTTCTCTTGGAACACTGGTATATTTTTTCCTTTTGGATAATACATTTTATGAAACTACATTTTCCTATTTGCATCCAGAAAGCTCAAGAAGAAATTCCCTACTTAGAAGAAGATATGGTATTTTACAGAAGAGCATTGTAGTTTTTCATTCTTAGTGGTGACTTCACAATCTGATTTATATTTTCCTTAGTTTGGTGTTTTATTTCTATTTTGTTCTTTTGTTATATGTATTAGCTCAAGGTATCTCAAACCTCTGAAAGTTGGGGTGTTAACAAAGATAGCAGATATGGGTTGATGTGTTCCACAGACAGCTTCATAGAATTGTCCAACAGCTGAGCTGCTTTCTGAAAGTAATTTCTTTGCCATTTTGTCTGGCTATGTTTCTCATGGTATCAGCTAAATATTACTTATTCATCTGTATAAATAGAGGAAACAGATGCTTTGATTTTCATGCTATTTCATATTCCCAAATTAGATTTCAGTGAGGCCCCAGTTTAAAGTCTGATTCCATATAGGAAATCAAACTGAATTCTGAGCTGCACCAGAATTTGGCAATTATATTTAGAACTATTACTTTTGATAAAATATTTTAAGATCATATGTTAAATCTGCTGAAGCCTTAATTCTCTTTTTCCCCCTATTTTTAATCATTTAGGTTGAAATAACTAAAAATGTCAAAAAATTGCTGTCAGGTACCACAAGAAAACAAGAAAAAAGCTATTCTTTTTTTCAATAAAAAAGTTTAAAAATTATTTCTTAGTAGAAAATGTGAAGAGAGTAAAAACTAAACATATATAGTGAAAATGTAAGAAATAGCCATAAAAATATGCACAGAGAAATAGACTCCAGAAAAAAGCTAGGGAACATGGATGAAGTAAAACAGATTTCTATGTTTGTGAATTTCGAATATGCAAAAATTTAAGAAACTTACCCCCTGTGACTGGCTAAAAGCTAAAGAAACAAATGACTCTGTTTCAAACACAGTGATGATATGTCTTAAGAAATAAAAATGAAGAGAAACATGGCAGATGTACAACTGGCAGTTCTAGAGAGGGCATTACTGAGCAGGGTCTTAGGTGGGAGAATGTAGGGACAGAGGGGCTGGATTTAAAAAGAAGGAAGGAGCTGTAAGCTTAGGCAGAACACTTCGATTTGTCAAGAATAATGGATAGAAGGGTTTTTGAGCAATAAAATTATTACTTTTCTTTGAAGTCAAGGTATATAGGAAAAGAGTACTCAGAGGTACTGAGTGAGGGCTTACAGAGAAGATAACTACTGAGGGGAGAGGAAAGGATTGAGCTCAGTAGATGAAACATAACTGCAAAACAGCAAAGAAATCTAACATAGTCCATAAATTAGGTCTCTTACTGACATGAAATTTGTTTCCTGGATTGTTTCATAGCATTGCCTAATTTTCCTTAGCAAAAACATCAAAATCTCTCTGTATAACCAAAACTTCCTTCATCAGCTTTACAGGTCAAGTAATTCTAGGTTCCAGAGTAAGATTGTCCCGCAGGTTGGGTCAGTTCTCCATACTTACTCTCTGGTCTTCAGGACTCAAGCTCCTGACATGAGCATTTCTGTATTGGCTTGTGCTCCATTCCCAACTCCCGGTTTGATGAAATACTCCAGCATGGAGATGGTTCTAAAAGCCGGTTCATGAGCTTTGTCATCCTGAGGAAGAGATCAGGTAGGAGCAAGTATCAGTGCACCCAGATGGATGCTTCCCTGACACTCTCTAGGGAAGAATGGCTAATGATTTAGAATAAAATGTAAAATAATTCCTCTTCTCATTACCCCAATTCCTGATATATTCTCACTCTTTTTCTACCTCAAGTTCTGTTAAACAGAAGAAATGCTCTGCTTCTTTTCTATCATCTCCTGAGGAGGAGCAAATATTCATTTTTGAATTCTAAAGTTCCCAGTTAGAGAGATTCTTTCTTGTTTTTTTTTGTATGTTCTTGGATTTTTTT